ATACCAAACTCATAACCCTTTCTTTCTTCCGCAACTCTATCAAATCTAAAGTTCTGTCTCAATACCGGGTGGAGCTGTCGTTCTGAGTTCAACAAATATGACCCTGTTCATGTTGAAACCTGTTGAATATAACAATTCCATCACAACTTAACCTAACCTGTTATCAACACATTTACGAATTAACAAAATGAAGATATCCATTCATCATTACAAATAATTTCATCCTAATACAATAAAATAGTGAAATATCCACAAAATATCCAAAAGTTATAACTTGTTCAATTCCACCAAAAATCCAACAATAACTAGTGCAACTCCAAAAAGTATGTGTATCCTTATCAAACAAAAATGAACATTCAAGCAAATTACATCATTGTTGCACGTCAAAAATGCCACTCTAATCCAATCTGCAAAAAAATAAATTAAAAGTTTTAGTAATTAATCAATTATACAAAAGATTAAAAACATTAGTAACTCATCAATTTACAATTAGATCGATTATACAATTTATCCCTGTAACAGACTTTTTTTGAGATTATGAGAACAAAAATTTAATTTTAAGGCTAATTCACAAATGGTGCATCCCATTAATGTGTCGTAAGTTCATACAACTTATATTGGTCCCTCCCAAGGTGCATCCCATTAATGTGTAATAGCTTACCGCTCAGGTGCTAAAGCTGAGTTATCATCACCACTGGAGAAAGGAAGAAGATCAATGAGTGTGGATGGGGGTTCCGTAGTCAGAATTATAAGCTACATCTTCACGCTATTTGCAAGGGACAAAAAAGAAAAAAGAGAAAAGAGAAGCACCAGGTTAATATTGCAGAAACAGCAAAATCAAAGCCAATCAACAGTTAGGACTCTCACTGACAAATCTTCTCAATCTAATCCTAGTTGCATAAAGTCTAATAAAAGTTCAATTTCAACATCTGAAATGTTTCACTGCTTTGCCTTTGTATTACCAAGTTAGTAAAAAAAAATATATGAAACCATTTGAAGCATAAAACAACCATCGTAAGTGAGTGGTAAGTCTCCCAAACACACAACAACACAACTCTCAAATGAGCCATACCAGCAAGCACAACAAGTTAACAATCATCCAAGTAGACAAATTACTACAACTAAAAGAACAACAAGGTCTTTAACACTCAATCCCTGGGAAAAGCCGATAACTAGATTGACACTCACTAGGACCTTTTAATAGGTGTATGACGGGCAAACCTCAAACAAAGATACAGTCCATGAAAAAGGGGCATGAAATATAGAGGTTTAGAACAAGGCTCATAAATTGAATTTTACATTAGCCATTATCAAGAAGATGCAGGATTTAAGTCCCCCTTAAAATTTGGATTTTTTATGTTTTTTTTTTTAAATATCAAAGGATGAATGAATAAACTTCGAAACAGTGTATAACCGCATTACATATATATTACAATGATCAAACTTCGCAATAACTTAAATACAATATGGAAACACAAAATAATATGGATACCAAGAAAAAAGGTATGGAAAAAAGTGCCCCCTGTTTAATTACAATAAAATAAAATCTACAACCTTACAACACATGTATAACACGTTCCCTTCACTAATTAAAATCTACTCAGTGATAGGTTTTATAGGGACTAATATGAAATTTATCACCCAACTAACAACTTTTCCTTTTATGCCAGTTATCTAATATGGCACCATGGATAATTCTCCCCTATAAAACTCCACACCTTTTACCGCTGGGCATGTAATCATTGGAATGACTTGTACAGATATAAGATATAAACAAAATTAAACTAGAAGGCAGCCTTATAGAAAAGGATTGAAAGACATGTGAAAGAGATATACTACCAACCTCATCAGAAGATTCAAGCCCAATATGTTCCTCATGAAACCAGTCCTCACAAATACAGCACTGAATCATCTCTACCTGTTCCTCGGCTTCTGGATCAGGATAGGGGCGACCGCAGGTGCAATATGAACCTTTGAAGTTATGATTATATGAATTCTCCACATTTTCGATATCTTTGTTTGGGAAAAGCTTGCAAAAGAACTCCCCAAACTTTGAGTTTCCACAATCACACCTAAAGTTTCTCTTGGTCCACAATTCCACAATCTACTCCAAATAGCAAAAAGTAACTACCATCAAATGCAAGCAAAAAGTAATACAACAAGATCCGAGATTATACAACACAAGGTACGAATGACAAGATTGCATATTTAATAAAAAATCTGATTTGACAAAGAAAACGAAAAAATAGATTCGAGCAGAGATACGAGCAGTGATGCAGTGATACGAATGCACATCAAATGCAAGCAGTGATGTAGTGATATGAATGCACATCATTACAGGTCCTCTCCATTAATAAAATGACAAACGAAATATAAGCGATTAAGCCAATACTAGTACTGTATTATGAAGTAACCACACTGTCACGGATATAATACGTAGTATTTCATTTAAATTTGAAGTAATATGTAAGGTAGAAATTCAAGTCATTAACATAAAAGAAAAATCAGTTAAGTTCAAAGTATGAAAACCAAACTCGATAAGGAGGACTATCATGGAGATTAAAGCTAGATGTCAGTAACCATGGCTAATGAGACTCATTATATCCAAATGGTTTGTTTTGAATAAGCAAGGATCCTTGGACAAATATTCACATGACCCCACCCACTCCCCTCCCCCCTTCTCTCTTCCCAAAGGGTAGTTAATGCATGCCAAATGTCATGTGTGATTACCATATAACACGACAACACAACTGGAAATTAAAACCACAAAACAAAAACAAAAAACAGAACAAAACAAAACAAAACAAAACAAAACAAACAAAAAAGAACAAAATGAACCATAGATGTAGTAACATTAAAATTTTTAAACTTGGATAGATTGACGTTATAGATACTTTCATGGCCTCATAATAAGTTAATATTTAATTTTACTGAAGAAACTCTCTTATAAATGCATTTGATAAATTGTAATGCTTGGCAAATATAGCGCTATGAACACTACCTATAAATAACACTGACATGTGTTCACAAATCTACACCCATAAGTTAATGAGATATGTATCACAGAAAGATTATACTGAGAATACCTCATGGCCATCATGGCAAGACAAGCTACATGTTGTGCAAACCCCGGCATTCCCATCAGGAGTGCAGGTCAAGCACGAGAAAATCGCCTGCCTCTTCATATAACCTTTGGTATAGGTGCACTCTTTGCCCTCATCGCCACCCAAAACCAAATTCGCTTCCTATGCATTGGCATAGAAAAGAACACAACATCAAAGTAAAAAACATTATATAACACAGAACGCTAAAGATAATAAAAAACAAAAAAAAAAAACATTTTGGTCTCGAAATGATCAAGCACGAGAAAATCGCCTGCCTCTTCATATAACCTTTGGTATAGGTGCACTCTTTGCCCTCATCGCCACCCAAAACCAAATCCGCTTCCTATGCATTGGCATAGAAAAGAACGCAACATCAAAGTAAAAAACATTATATAACACAGAACGCTAAAGATAATAAAAAACAAAAAAAAAAACATTTTGGTCTCGAAATGAGATAGAGTTGTACAAAGAGATAAAAAAAGTGCCAGGAAAATTTGGCAAACAAATTTTTTTTCTCATTAGCTGTCAACTTTTGATTGTTTATTACACGGGAAAGAAAAATAAATAAATAAAAAAAACAACCTTCAAAGTTTATCTAAAAAGAAAAAATATATATTTCTCTATGCCTCATTTTTCTGCTGGTATTCATTACTAAGTGAACCACAAATGAAACCCCACACTTACTAAAATTCAAACATCAACACAAATTAAATTTAGTTCTAACATTTTAAGTTTTATTTTGACATCCCATCTACATTCTCAGTCAAAATGGCACATATGTCTAATATACTTGATGGTTTTCTCATTAAAAAATTGTATCTATTTACATTTTATTCACACCTTTGCCCATGATAGTACAACATAATTAATAACAAAACAAAAGTTTAATTACCTATTCTTTTAAATTAACAAATCATAATAACGAATTACAACCGTTACATTTCTTATTCCAATTTTATCCTCCAAGTAATCTGATAATTCTTATTATGTCCAATCTCCAATCTTGTCCTCCATTAATTATCAATGACCAAAGCATTGCCATTACAACTAAAACACCAACTTTGTGCTATATCATTTGATTCGTTTATAGTCTACTAAGCACGCATACAGACACAGGACGCGGGTTCAAGTACAAAATAATAAAAACATGTTGACACACTAATTTTAAAAGAATGAAGACACAAACATGTTAAGCACGCAAAAACCAAATAGATATCTATTATTCTATTTATATCCATATATGAATAGAATAATAAATTATTCATACCTTGAGTGACAAATAAATTCATATTTTTATATGAAAAAAATAACAAATAATTTATTTTCCATGTCTACTTTGGAAAGGATGCAAGAATAAAAATGATTAACACCTATTTTAAGATGGCCCAAAGTATTCAAAAAATAAAGGGGAGTTATTAAAGCCAATGCATAGAGATTCCAAATTAAAAAAAATCCTAAATTAGGGATTCATAGACATGACTTCTTTTAATTTTAACCATTTACCCCTAGTTTCATTTCCTTCAAACTTGCGCGAAGAGTCCAAGACCCTAGATATGTAACATACCTATGTGCCAAAGTGTGTTTGATTTTAAGAAAACTAGAAAAACAAAAGGAATCATGTGGACTCATTTGACACATATCTAACACACATCAACAATTGTGTCAAGATTCAAGAATTTTGATGTTCAACACGTGTCAAAAATGAACACACCTCATATCCATGATTCCTAATTACTACTAGATATTATATTCTATTAATATTTTTAACTAATTTTATGATTTTACCTCAAATTGAAAATCAATTATGTCCGAGGCAAATTTCAATTGTCTTCATATCTTTTTAACTCTTTCATAAATGTTCACGGTATAAGCCTTACTTATTTATGTGTTATTTCATAATCTTCTCTATGCAACTTACCCATATAATCCCAATTATACCTTCTTTTCTTGATTAGCAATAATCCAACTTATATCTTATATGAATTAAAATCGATTTTGGCCTTTAACTTATATGCTAGTAAATTTTATGTTGTTTATCACATTTTTTATTTTATTTTATTATGTCTATAATAGTCATTTATAGGAATATTTCTTTCCATTTTTGTACTAGATAAGTAGTTTATAGTATATAAAAAGATATTGATTTCCATGTATGTATGTCTTCAGCCTTTCATTTTTATATTTTCCCATAGTTGTCAAATCGAGATTCGTATCGTGAAGCGAAATGACCTCGTACCGAATCGCGAATCGAATCGAATCGTGAATCGTAAAGATTCGGTCACTTTTTCTAAATTACTTAAAAATATATATCTACACATTTAGATGTAAATATATCTTATGAATATAAAATATTTAGACTTAAATCAACAAAACACACATATCCCAAGTTTGTGCTCCTGGGGTGGGTGGGCCTAGGATCAATTCTCGATTATTCAAAAAAAATAATAATAATTGAGTTGTTGGCTAATGTAAATGTCATATAAATCTTCTATTTTTTTGTTTACACTCTTGCAATTCATAGTAACTTGTTTAATTATAGTGGTAATTCCATAAGTCCTAATTTTTAATGGATGATGATAATAATCATGCTATTGTGCATGTATACAAATAGATATAAACACAAGCTATTACATAATAATATAAGTTATAACAATGACCTTCATTTCATTTTAGATAAAAATTTCTCACTTACATGAATGCATAACAGTTTTAAAAAGATAATGATATAATTCCTTCAATGTTACTTTTTATCAACCTCTGCCAAGACTCGCATACGAATCTCTTCAGCTTTAAGCTCTGAAAGCGCAACATCTAGAGTAGGCAGAGAAGATTTGTGCAGGGGCTGGTCTCTGATGTACTCAAGCTGTGGGTTTTCAACTAGCTTGACTAAAAGAAATACCATATTAAAGAGCACAAGATGGAAAATGGAGACTATGGGGACCATAGGTGGTCTTTTTTTAAATCCATCAAGCTCGGTCAAATGCAGATGACTAGGAGTAAATACAATTCTAATATTGCAAAAAGGATTAGTTCAACCAGTTTTGAAAAAATCCCAAAAAATAGACTGCTTACCACCAGACTGAAAACCAGGTTGTTAACTTACTTCTCAAAACTAAAAACTATATGATATCATACACTCACTCTTCAATTGGATAGTAAGCAAATTAATATTGAAAGTGATCTTTGGAATCGTATGGGATTATAAACGATGTTCTGAGCTTAGTGTCCATTGTGCAAAATAAATTCCAATATTCTAGCAAGAGAAAACAAATACAACAAAAATAAATAGAAATAAAAGAATAAGAGGCTGCCACATCACTGGAGGTGCATAATCACATATACCTGAGTAAGCAATCCTTTCTTCAAAAAATCATAATTTTCAAGTACTCTCTTAAGAAATATTGCATATTCTTAGAACTTGCTTTCAATCCCAAAACTTTATTTTCTTCCCCATATTCATAATTTACATTTCAAGATCAACATAAACGAACACACACTCCAGCAAGGAGTAATTTGATTCACATTGAGGGAAAAAATAGATAACAGAGGAAGGCCAAGGAGAGCATGGTTTAACGTACTAAAAAAGGACATCATTGCCATGAACTTGACTGAGTAGAGATAAAGCCAAATGGGTCTATGTAATTGGGAGAAAATTTGTTAACTTGAGCTGACAACACATTAATAGGACCTTAGGATTCTCGTACAATTGAACAAACTAACCAGAAACAGAGCCATTAAGTGTTTGATCATCCATATACAATTGAACAAACTAGCTTGTTTCATAGTGCAGTAAGCATTAGAAGCTGTCGCAAACCATAGTAAACCAAGTGACCTTTAAACATTCAGCAATCCTCTGCCCAACAAACACTAACTTATAATAAAAAAAAAATATTGGGCAAGAACCAATAGAACCATTTGATTGACATAAAATCTAATTAAACTGTGAGCATTATGGGTTCCAATTAACTAATCCAATCCAACAAAAAGCTAAGAAGTAAGTCCTCGGTTTCCTCAGCACCTAAGGCTGTGTTTGGCTGGGGGATTTGATGAGTGATTTAGAAAAAGAGAGGGAAAAAGTGTGTGAAACTAGGTAAAATGCATGTAAATTTATTTATATTTCAACTATCTTTTTCCTTTCACTTCCCAAATCCTCCAACCAAATACAGCCTTAAAAAAACCAAAAATCCCTCATTCCAGAATTCAATTTACTTATCTTTCCTCCATTTTCTCAGCAAACAAACACACAGTAAGGAAATAATATAAAACATCAAGACATTTGCATGCAACCGAACCAAAAAAAAAAAAAAAAACTAGGATTTTAAACAAGGCAGAGAGGTTACCAATTCCTGATCCTCAACATCCTTGAGGTACTTGTGGATTGAAACCGTGGGCTCAGCTTCAGCTTCCTCTTCAAACACATCAGCCATTTTTATCCAAATGAGATCAAAAAACAAATTTTCTCAGTGAAAGCCCCAAATTCGATTGAACAAACCCGAAACAACTGATGAGGACTGTTGTACAGAGCCAAAAAAACCTATATTCTTCGAGAAAAGAGGTCGAACATGGCTTTTCGAGACATGTTAGGGCACCAATTTATCGGTGAAAACAATAGAGAAGGTGATCGCAGAGAGGAGTGAGGAGGGTTGAGATTATGTGGGTCTTGAAGACGAGCTAGGGTTTTATATGAGACTAGGGACTCCGTGGACATTTTCCCGCCATAATAGAAGGCCAAGTTGTCTACTTTTTTGATGAAATCAAACAAAAAATGTAATCCCTTCCCTCCTAATTTTTTCACTTTTTTTAGAGTTCTTTGCCCTCATTCTATGCACATTTTTTCCCCTCCTAATCCCTTCTCTCCTAACAAAAAATGGACTCCAGCGTTGCCACGATCTCCGCCAGTCGAGGTGGATCGAAGCACCCTACGCTTCCGAGGCAGACGAACACCACCGTCTCACCCTACTCTTCCCCATTCAGGCATCGCCGATGAGGTTAGGGTAGTGAGACACAGTGATGAGGCTTTGGAGAGTGGTAGAGGAGCTCAAGGTTGGGGTTTCCATGAAGGCTCAGGTTGTGATGAAAATCTGTGAGACTGAGACAATGATCTGCGAGGTTGAGATGGTTTGGAGAGAGAGAGAGAGAGAGTGTGTGTGACATACAAGTGTTTAGAAAGAGAGCTACACCCAATTCGAAGAGTGTTTCATTCGAAGATTGTTTCATTTTACCATTTGGCGCCAAAGTATTTCATTTCGGCGCCTATATTTATTTTAGGTGATTATTGAGACCCTCCAATCACCACCCTACACACACGTGGTGGGTGGTGATTGGAGGAGAAGGAAAAAAAAAAGTGACCAATTAGGTGAAGAGAAGGTCAAGGGGGTGGGAAAAAAATAGGGTCCAAGTTATTATTGATTTATTTTGGTCATATTATTTAGACATAAATTGCGTTTCATGAAAAATAAAATATTTTTAACAGTTAGCATATGTGCGTCATGGAAAGTGTACTTTCTAACGGTTGATTTTTTGTGCGTCGTAAAAAGTGCAATATTTTTAATGGCTGACTTTTTGTGCGCTGTAAAATATTCAATATTTTTAACAGCTAGTGTATGTGTGTTGTGTATAGTTGATGTATTAACGGCATGCCATATGCACGTCATAGAAAGTTTTATTATTTACGGCTAACATCGCAAGCTGTAAAAAAATCATCATTATTAGCATTTATGACCTACTCAATAGACACGCCGTAGTTGAGAAATTATTTACGACATGCAAAAAAAGTAAGTCGTAAAAGTGAGAAACCACGGCTTGCATTTACTGTATGTCGTTAATGTGGAGCCGTAAAAACTCTGTTTTGTTTTAGTGCCATCTCCTTCTCCCTCTGTCTCTCTTTCTCTCTATGTGCCTTTTGATGAACCCTAGCCTTCTACTTTCCTTTTAATTAGAAGCAGCCAAAGAGTTAAGGGTGTGTTTGGTAACGTTTACGTTTTCAGTTTATATTTATAAAAATTTTATAAACTGGTTTTTGTTTATTTTTTGTTTATTTTTAGAAAAACATAAACTACAAACGCATTTGGTAATTGACAAAATGTTTAAAAAAAATTGTAAAAAAATATAAAAAAGAGATGAGAAATGGCAAGTGGCGGCAGAAGACGGTGGTGGAAAGTGGTGACGGTGGGTGGTGTGTGGTGTGGCTACGTGGCAGTGGTGGGGTGTAGCGAGTGGGTAGTGGGTGGTAGTGGCAAGTGGGTGCGGGTGGTAATGGGTGATGCGGGTGGGTGGTGGTGGCGGATAGGTGGCTGGTGGTTGGTGGTTGGGTGACAGTGGCGAGTGGTGGGTGGTAGCGACTGTGGTGTAGTGGTGGCGGTGGCGATGGCGGTGGTGGGTAGCAGTGGCAGTGGGTGGCGAATGGCGGTGGTGGCGGGTGGGTGTGGTGGTGATGTGGGGTGGGTGGGTGACGGAGTGAGTGGGGGTGGTAGCGAGTGGGTGGTGGTGTGGCGGTGGTGCAGTGGCGGTGTGGTGGTGGTGGCGAGTAGTGGCAGGTGTGGGGGGTACGTGGCGGTGATGGTGGTGGGGGGTGGTGGTACGATGGTAATGAGTAGGTGGGTAGCTAGTGGGTTGCTGGTGGTGTGGAATGGTGGTGGGTGGTGTCGGCAGGTGGGTGGCGGGTGGTGGTGTGATGTGGTGCGGTGCTAGTTGTGTTTTAAAACGTAGAATCTTCGCCCAGTTTTTGGTCTCTCCGCTCGAGCTGCGCTTTTGACGCTCGATCGGGGAAATCACCCATCCAGTATTTCGTCTGCAGCGGTAGACGCTCGAGCGGAGGATTGGCCGCTCGAGCGGGAGTTTGTGTCTGACGCTCGAGCGGGGAGTTCGACGCTCGAGCGGGAACCACGTTTGTAAAAGTTCTGGGAGCGTGCATCCACCGCTCGAGCGGGAGATTGGACGCTCGAGCGGGGATCTGTGAGTGACGCTCGAGCGGGGCGACTTTTATATAAAGCCGAGATCCGACCCTTTTGTTCACTTTTCAACATCCTTTCTCTCTCTTACTTTTCCAAAAAGCTATCTTGAGAGTTCCTCACACTAAAACCCTAACTTCTCTCTTAGGATTGATCTAGTAGGAGTTGTTTTCTCACCTTGGGCCTTTACAAAAGTTGTGTTGATCGTCGAGGGCTATCTTTTAATCTGAAAATTTCAGGATTTGGAGCATTTCCGTTTCTTCACCTCCTTCGTTGGGTCCCATTATTTGAGGTAGGGATAACCTACTCCATCTTATAAGCTTTGTCTTTGAATTTTAGCATTTTGATATGTTGGGGGTTGTTGGGTAATTTTGAGAAAGTTTGGACCTTTGTGAAATTTTGTAAAAGTTGGGTTTTAGATATGTAAACCTATATGCATGTTAGGCATAGAGAAATGAGATTAATGTCGGGACATTGATGGAAATGGAACCTTAGGGTTGTTTTGTGAATTATGGTAATTTGCCCTAATTGGTTTAATTAATTAATGCATTTAATTAATTGAAGAAAACGAGGAATTGAATTGAGAATGTTGAAATTGGGAATGTATAAGACTAAAGAGTGTAGTCAAACCTTTTATTGCTCATCTAGTTGAAATGTTGGTATATTATCCACTTGTGCATTTATTTCCTGCTTAGAAATAATTGTTTTGGGCTACCGGTGGAGGGTAGTGTTGATTGTTGTAGAAAATGCATGATGATTAGGCAAACTAAAACTAATCAATTGGATGTGTCATAGACTATGACGGTTGATAGAATACATTAACTTTATGTATCTGTGGATTGTGCATGTGACCAACGTGTTTATGTGCATTATGTGTAGACAGTTGATAGAATACATTAATTTTATGTATTGATTGATTGCATATGTGATTTTGTGTTTATATGTATTACTTGTGTACGGGAGGAGATGGGGGATGTACTCCACGGTTTAGGGGAAGATGGGGGATGTACCTCTAAACCGGTTAATGGCTAAGGAGAGATGGGGGATGAACCCGGGAATGCAGCTCATATGCTCTCCCATCGAAGTGTTGATACAGCTCATATGCTTATCTGTTGAAGTGTTGATACAGCTCATATGCTTATCTGTTGAAGTGTTGATACAGCTCATATGCTTATCTGTTGGAATGTTGATACAGCTCATATGCTTATCTATTGGAATGTTGATACAGCTCATATGCTTATCTGTTGTAGTATTGATATAGCTCATATGCTTATCTATTGAAAAGTTTGTTTGATTTGATATAGCACTAAAATGTATATCATCATTGTTTGCGAAGTGTAAGAGTAGTTTATGTGTTAGTGATACGACACCAAAATGTGTATCCACCTTGGTTTTCGAAAAGTGTTCTAGTGATGAACTATAATCTCATCAAATGTTTTGGCTAGAGTATTGAGCCTTGTTTTCAAACTCAAAGTTGAACAAAAAAATGAAAAGTGAATTGTAATATAGACTTGGCTGTCATGGAATTTTAATAAGATGTAAACGAAAGTGTAAGTACTGACCATCTATCTGTTGCTAATCTTTTAGGCATTGTTCATAGTCGGTTTAGTATATTTCTACTGGGCTATGGCTCACCCTTTATGGGAACATCATTTTCAGGTACAGGTAGCATGCCACCTCTGAGGACATAGCTTGGGAGGCTAGAGGCAGACATACTTTTGTTGCCTTATTCTTTCTTGATTATATTTCATATAGATTTGAGCCTAGGACTTAATGTGTATTTAAGCTAGCACCCTCTTTGGTAACCAAGTGTTAACTTGGAGAGCTGTAAGCCCGTAAGGCATTTGCTTCTGTTGTAACACTTTTGTAATGAAATACTCTGATGAATAGATGAATGTGGACTTTTATGTATCAATGCTTGTCTCTATATGGACGGGTTTAATGTTGTTATTCTGAGGGCGTTACAATAATAATGTTTGCATGCACAAACGGCGAGAATAGAGGAGCTCTAGTGCGAAATAGAAGAGATGGTTTATAAAGATTATTTTCTTGAGTCACAGTTTCAATACTTGTGAGAGAGGAGACTCAAGTGCGAGATAGAAACGAGGGTTTGTAGAGGGTGTCTTTTCGGGTCACGACTTTAGTATTTGTGTGTGTGTGAAAGTAAGTGATTAAGGTGAGAATGATCTCTTAGTTTCTGACGACAATTTAATAAAGAGAAATAATTAGGGATAAAATATTTTTGTCTCAAACTCATATGTTCGTTGCCTAATCAAAAAAAATACAAAAACAACGTTGTGTGGGGATGGAGAATTATTGGTGATGAAATATTTTTGTCTCCTTCAACTTAACCTTATGAGACGAAAATATATTCGTCGCACAATCACTCAAAATGCAACACGACACATGGATAATTTATTAACGACGAAATATTTTCGTCTCCCAAAACATATCCTTCCGAGACAAAAATATATTTGTCGCCTAATTAACAGAAAGATAAAATGAGCATGAAGAGTTCATTGGTGACGAAATATTTTTGTCTCCCATAACTTATCCTTCCCAGCGAACAAATATATTTGTCACCAAATAAATAAGAAAATGAAACGACATCGTCTAATAAGTTTCGAATTTATTGGAGACGAATTCCTTTTGTCGCAAAAAACTTTAAAATTTGTGACAAAAATGTTCGTCTCCAATGAACTAAAATAATTGGCGCCAACAAGAAAAAAAATTGGAGCCTCTTTTTTTTTTCTGATGAATTTATTTTTTCATCTCCTACAGTTTTGAGAAGAATTAAAAGAAACGACAAAAGTAATATTTGGTCATGTTTGGGTTACATTCTAAAACGAAAATAAATTTTA